ATAAATATATTTAATATTTCCAATGTTAACATGTTTTAACCATCAGATAATTTAGTAGTTTGTATCAGACATATATTGACTCATAAAGTATTGTATAGTTCTAACTGGGTTATCTAATAGGAAATGTTGTTTTCCATCTATTTGCTTTCCCTTCAATAAGGTGACATACCAAGACCTAACTGTGCTAAAGTTGCTTTGAAAATCTTTTTCTGAATTAGAACTGAATCAAATTTGTCAGTACAACCAGCAGATATTATTAGGCCATGCAAATGAGATTGACTAATATGAGACAAAAAAATCATCTTTTAAATTGAGAGATTTACCCTGTTGGAACCAACATTAAATCTGTCCGCAGATCTTTCCATCTAGCCTGGAAAAAGTGACAAGCAAGTGCTCTAAAGTATAAACCTGAGATATGTTAAATTGTTAATCAAGGATTAGTATGTATGTGAACCTACGTGTTCTGTTCCTCTGAAAGCAACAACTAATCTTTTCCGTGATTGATCTCGCCAAAGTGCAACCTGCAGATCTATATAGTCTGTGATTAGATGTCCATTCACCTCTAAACAAAGTTTTATACCAAAAGAAAAAGAGTCCCTACGCCTCATTTTGTTTGATCTTTCATTACTGTTTTACTACACCCCAAATTAATGTTTACTTCCCAAATTTGAACACCACCAGTTTTTTGTTTTTCTTTGAATCTATCCTACAAGACTTGGTGAGATCCAATTTTCTTTTCTTTTCAGAGGTAGATATGAAAATTGTTTTATTTAAAACCATGTCTAAGACCGACACATGATACACTCTTGGACAAAGGAAGTACTAATTTAGAATAACAAGAGAGTTGCCTGAGTGTCAGTAGATGAGTTATCTAAGAAGCATATCTTATCAAATTCAGATTTAATAAAAGTTGGGTGCCCCAAAGATGTGGCTAGCATTGCCCAAGCCTCCATAGCAGTTTGTGCTCTTGTAAAAAGTTCCCTCATTTCCTCGGCTTTCGTTTCATTTAAGATTTCTGCATCATGTATTGGGTATCCATGAACGTCACTTTTTATTTCAGGTGTTGAATCTTTTTTTGTGTTGCCGCTTCCAATAAGTTCTACCCCTTTGTTTGACTTGAAAACTGTTGTGTTTAGAACCATAAGAGCACCCAGAATGGAATCAGTCTGCTGTAGCAAATCTCTTGTCGCCTTCTTAATATCTGGCAAGGATGATTGAATTGTGTTCATTATTTGTGGTACCAACCTTTCCTGCTTTTCGGGAGTAACAAGTCCAGATTCAATATAACTGGCGTCTACAACTTGTTGAGACTGCAACCCAATCTTATTTAACAAGTCAAATTCATCCCACCTTATTTTATCAAAAGCAGGAAAACCAATTCTCTGAACAACATTATGATTCACAATATCAGCAATGTTTTTCCAAAAATGTTTATCAGACAGTGAGGCTTCAACAACTTCAATCTCTGAAGATTTATGTTCATCAAGGTTTGAGCAATTTGGGGAGCACTCTGGATCTGGATGGTTATCGGACTAGCTTGAATAGTTTACAGATCTATCTAATGCTGAAGGACAGCGAAATCTCCTGAATGATCACTATGTTTTCCTATTGCTTCAGTTTCATTTGAAGCCTGATCCTTCCAAATTCCAGTGTCATTGCTTTGATCAGTCCACTTAAGCCGTGGAAAAGCAAAATGTACAAACTGACGTGCTTGCACCATCTAGTATATGCGGGCAACTTTGGAAGATTATTTGAAAATTTGCATTGAATTCCAAAAAAAATTATATATTATTTTGGGACAAAATTTTGGCTAAAATGACAAATATTTGGGGATGGAGGGGGTTTATTATAAAACATTCTTCAAAATATGGGGAATCTTAACTATTTACAGGTTGAATATATATGAAGACTATAGAGAAAAGAAATCGGGTGCATCTTCAATATGTGTCAAGTGGAGCATTAGATCAGTCTATTGACATACCTCTATCTGTAGCTTTCCACCACTGCCCATCCCCTGCAACTCAACTAGCACTTCATGCATGTTTCCTAAAAAAATATTACTTCGTAAATTGAAATGATAATACACACACACACACACTTTCAACTGTCTTCTTCATATTTATAACAAGAACCAACTATTTAAAAAATGTGCTGAACATCCTTCCAAAAAAAATATGTGAGAAAAAACAAATGTAGTAGCTCATGATATTTTTAAATTTGATTTGATGGAAAAGTCATCTCTTTGTTGTCATATACGGAGATATTGGCCAAACTGGCTTATGTCTTTCAGTACTCAATTTCTGTACCTTGATTTCCACCATTTGCTATGAGCCTATAAATGCACTTTTTCTTTCAAAAAACCCAAATAAAGAAATTGTCGAGCAAAAAGACGATGCATAATTGGGCCTCCTTGGCAAGTAAAAGTGGAATATAGTTGTAAATAGAGTACAAATGTTTTTGTCAAGTAGCAATTCAAGAAACTTGACATTATTCTTTTACGCCACACTTGATGTCATTAGGAAGACTTCAAAGAATACTTTGGTATTATTAGTACTTGATTCTTCTTTCATTCAGATTAAGAGAAATATAAAACTCGGATTTATCTTCAATCCTGGTTTTATATATGGCTGCCATGAGTTGCTCATCATTGTTCGAAGTGGATATCAAGAATGCCAGTTTAAATTATGTCATTCTTTTTATGGTTTGGAACGATCTTCATGTACTTGCTACTAGCTATGTAACAAGGTTAGTGCATATGACTTGTATGCTCTGGCTCAAAGGGGTGTGTAGGAAGTAAGTGTGGAATAAAGTTGTGAATAAAGTAGGAACATTTCTGGAAAGTACCAATTCCAGAACCTTAGAATAGGGGACTATAGAACAAAAAGATGAAAAGGTTTCTCCAAGATAAACAGTTTTAAATTATACTAAAGCATCATACTCTAAAGTTATTTTCTTAAAAGGTTAAGTCACTAGTTAACTAATAGTGATGATGATGATGATGACAAAGAGAAAATGAAGCAATAACATACAATTGCCCCAGATGTACAGTTGACTGTAATATCTCCACCACTGATTTCAACAACCTCTCCATCTATCCAAGCTACCTCAGGATCCTCAACCCAAACATGTGTTCCAACAACTACACTGGAAACACTCTGCAAGAAATGGTTAAAATTACTAGCATGAAAATCCAAACAGAAAAATAGGTGTTGAAAATTACACTATACACCAACCACACCAATCATATTTGTTTTTAAAAAATGTATAAAGATACACCTATCCACGCAATAAAACTATGAATCACGGAGGAAGGAGAATAAGAAGAAGAAGAGGAAGAAGAAGAATGGCACATCTAAGTCATGATTTATGAAAACTTCATGGAACACCTATCAATCCTCGACTAAAATCTAGTAATGATTTATGAAAATTTCATGGAACATCTAAGTCATGATGAAAGAGATGACCTGCTGAACATCCTTCCAAAAAAAGTTGTTGGTTGGGGGGGTTTGCTTGGGGTGGAAACTGTATTAACTCGTAGTGTATGTTGTAGCAGAAATAGTAATACAGATGTGTTTGACAGCCAATAAGCCATGCACTTGTTGTTTGACTCATCCTATGAGAGAAACAGCAAATTAAATAGAAGAATTCAAGTTGGAAACATGCATGGGTTCTAATTAACCATAAAAAGTTATGTGCTTGGGAATGGGATCAATGCAACTGTTTGTACGTTGGAGTTACTATAGCGGATGAGTGGGCTGTTGCATGCAAAGAAGATGAAGCATTTGTAGGATGAGCAGTATGAAAAACTAAAAAAAGACTAGAAAGAATTTATGAGTTCTCCTAAAAATGCCTTTGTAGCTGTTTGGTGTTTTTATTCAAGTCTTGCTTACTTGCTTATTACTCCATCCATTTCATAATACTGAT